CATAAATTTTTTTTCCCATGAATTTTTCCCATGTTTTTGTTCAATTTCCTAAAAATATATGTAGCTCGCCCTGCTTGTATAAAACCTTGCTGAGATTTGTACTTGGAATATTTAGGAGATGTTGAAGTAGCAATTAGGATAAAGTATTTTGGAGCATATTTAAGTAATTATTATTAAAAATGCATGACATTACCTAAAATATTTATATGATTTATTGTAAATACATGTATTATCGAAAGCATGCATGCAGTACTCGTTTGCATTTTTACAGGATATACTGTAAAAGCATTTATGTTCAGTGACATTTAAATTCACTATTTTGTTATTTGAGCTTTTTTACCACGTGTTGAGTTCACGAATTTCATAGAGAAATGGGTTATATTGTAATTTTACATATTCATGTTAAAATAACAGATTATACCTATCAGCGAAGATAGTAAAATTGAAACCTAGTGAAAAATAATTGACTTCACAGTATATGCAAATGGAGTCATTTAAAAATTGTTACACTATTTAGCACTGAAGCTGAACTGATCAGTGCTTATGTATGCTTTCCAGGTGTGTATGCAGTAGGATTCTGTTTTGAGTTCTGATTAATGTCTTGCAGAGACATTATAGAAAAGGCAGACATGGATGTCATCTCTAATAACAAAAAAGCCTTATATTGAATATTGAAATTTATGTCTTGTTTTTGTATCATATGAAATTTATGACAAGTTTGCCACCACCTGCAGCTGCTGATTTTTACGTTATCAATACAGTAGACGTTTCCTGAAATCTTTTTTCAGGGAAACAAGTATTTCGCAAATAATTCATTGTTAACTAAATGATCCCAACTGTATACCCAGTTATATTACATTTCAACATACATGTATAATGTTAAACTGAATGATCAGAACATTGTCCTTGTAGCATTGGTTTCTTTGCCATCTAGTTACCTGGTAGCATTGGTTTCTTTGCCATTTAGTTACCTGGTAGCATAGTTTCACTACATCTAGTCCTGCAAGATGGTATAGTGGTTAATATGTCTGCTTCATGTAGCTTTGTTCTTTACTACATCCATTTAGCAATGTTTCTATCTAGGATCCTGTTCCTGTTTGGACATACATGTACCAGTAATTTGAAAATCGAGGAATTTACATTTTGTATGGATTGACTTGTGTGCGTTCGTGCATACATCCCACCTGTATCTTAGACATGCCTGGGCCAATTACTTTCAAACTTCACATAGACGTTGTACATCTTAGATTACATACATGTATGCTTGTCCATTAATTCTGATTCAAGATGGCCGAATGGCAGCCATCTTTGTTATTAAAATTCATCAAAATCAAGCATTACTGCAATTCCATAGCCAGATCTTGACCATGTGACAAAAAATTTCATTCAAACTTGGTGCATATATTGGGCATTATTGGACCTTGATGCATGTCATTTTGTTTTTCAAATCAGGTTCATAATGGCCGACAGACAGCTATTTTTATCTGGTTTGCTTTATTATGAAAATAGTCCATGTTTTAGGTAAAATTCTAGCGCTGAAAACAAATTATACCTCACATTAAGCTGTGTGCCTCCAATATTGAAAAAGATGTGATGCTATGACTGGTTTTTAAACAATTGTCTGTTCACAGTAATACTGGTCTCTCTTTTAATTTTGCCTCTGGAGACACTTTTTTATTCTGCGAATATAATTGGTTTGCCCCTTATACTGGCTCCAGGATTCTGTGTCATTGATGTCAATTCGTATTTCATATTATTCCACATCCTAAGGCGTTCTTACATTGTCATTTGAACCCTGTCATTATCATCAAATGTCATCATTGTACTTCAAAAAATAATCCATTAAACTGTCTGCTCAGTTTCAACTACAATCATAGCATATAGACAATGATTGCATCAATGTTGAACCAAAAAAAGAAGCACAATGACTGTCATAGTCTAAAGTTTTGAGTTAATCAATAAAGCTTGTACGAAGATTTTGGTGCAAAGTGTAAAATACTGTACACGCTGGTATTTTTCACTGTTTTCTTTGTCAATTTTGGACCAAATAAACATAATTTTATATTGCTAAATATCAGGTAAATGTATCAACATTTTAGATAGAAATAACAAACTTGTGTGTATCGGTAGGTTGATTGCGTGAACTGTCATTAAATGGTTGAGGTGAAAGCCAGTAAATATACACTTCTTCGTTATTATAAGATGAAGTTTTACCAAAAGTGAAATCTTTTTCAATGTAATTATCTCAACATACTGTAAATTAATTATTATTAGCTGGTTTTTAAATTTGCTATTTTCGCCATAAAAAAGTTTATTCTACGTGAACATCTAAAATAACAATATAGTAAAATTAAATTTCAGTAAAAATAAATGGTTTTACAGTACTAGTTTTATCAGTAGAACTTATTAATAGTGAAGTTTTATGATAGTAATTATTAACTTACGATAGATATTTATTTACTTTACCAATGAAGCATTTCATGTTGGACCAAATTAATCGCTGATGCTTTGTTGCATGTGGAGGTAACAGTGAATACCGAGGATAACTTATATTTCCAGATAAAAAGATGTACCGGCGTTTTTAGAAATTGCTCATTTGGAAGCATGTTTATTTTTGCTTCAGATACAAATTGTTGTTGCTAAAAAGTGTATCTCTTGCCACATTAAATCTTATATTGTCTGAAAGTTTGATATTTCTCTTCTCCAGTAACCATTTACACTAACTTTAGGGTAGAAGCCTACTCATAAATGCAAATGCACAGAATTTATTCATTTTGAAATAAAACTTAGAAAATTTGGGGGTCACCAGCCTAATTTTTGAGAAAATAATGGTTGTATTTTAGTGGACATTGGCCGTTTTGTCAGTATTATAGTGCTTTTAGAATGTGTTTCTATCACACAGATATTTTGCCATATCTTAAATTGTAGGCTTGTGACATTGGCTGAAAAAATCATATATTGTTCATTACGGAGTACTGTGAAATACTTTATTTTCGCTAGAATTAATTTTTGCTGAAAAGGCTTTTTGGGAGTTTTGTATGGAATTTATTTTTACTGATTTTTGATGAGTTCATTGTGAAAAGTTTATTCGCTGGATTTTATTTTCATGGAATCATCCCTTCAGCGAAAATAGCGAAAATAAATTCCAAACAAAAATAAAGTGTTCTACAGTACTTTTTGTTCTGAATTATTTAAAAAATCTGGTTTTTAAGAAGTCTCAAAAAATGCATTGGGTTTAACATTTCTAAAAAAAAAGATTTTGAAAAATTTCAGCACAACTGTCAAAAACACAAAAAAATGGTATTTCATGCCATTGGACAATAATACATCATTTTACATAATAAACCAATGAACATTGTTATGTGATTTATAACCAACTTACTTCTACCTTAATAACTCTATATTAAAGAGAAATAAAACTCAATGATAATAAAAATCATGACTAAAAGCTTTACCAATGACATAAAACGCTTAATTTTTGTTGTGTCATGTTTAATTTTATCTTCTGATATGAGTCGTATATAAAAATGATTTTCTCTTGTATGTCTGGGTAATGTAATATTGATTTAATTGTTCATCATACAATACCCCTTTGTGGTCTGAATCCCTGTGTAGAATACACAATGACTAATGTCTGAGTGCTTCCAAGATTAAAAATTGATATTACCATCTGGCAGTGTGATGTGAAGTGCTTTTATTGGTTTTGTACTCGTGGAGGAAGATACTGCTCTAATTTAAGTGCTTTTGTCATGAAGGAAAGTCTAGCTATATCACATACAAATTGCATGAAAAATAATATAGTTAGGAAATTTGTGTTATTTGAAAATTGTTTTTAAAGGTTTTTTCTTTGAGCTGGAAGCGTTTAATAGAGTACTGTATCACCATAAGAGGGCGCCATCACCATAACATGTGTTGACATAGGATATCTCTAGTAATATAGTTAATGACTTTTGTTGAGCGTGGAGATGTTTTATCCCATTCTGTGCTGAAGTGTTTATGTTAAACATGTATTGATCTGTGTGACCTATCAAAAAACAGTATCTCAGCATGTGATGTGTATTGATCTGTGTGACCAATCAAAAAGCAGTATTTCAGCATGTGATGTGTGACCAACCAATCAAAAAGCAGTATCTCGTCATATGATGTGTATTGATCTGTGTGACCAATTAAAAAGCAGTATCTCATCATGTGATGTGTGACCAATCAAAAAGCAGTATCTCGTCATGATGTGTATTGATGTGTGACCTATCAAAAAGCAGTATCTCATCATGTGATGTGTATTGATCTGTATGACCAATCAAAAAGCAGTATCTCATCATGTGATGTGTGACCAATCAAAAAGCAGTATCTCATCATATGATGTGTATTGATCTGTGTGACCAATCAAAAAGCAGTATCTCATAATGTGATGTGTGCCTAATCAAAAAGTAGTATGTGTATGCAAATATTTCATGTCATGTGACCATTGAGGAGTCTTTTCTTGACTGACAGATCCTATTATTCTATTGCAGTGTACACATTTGTATACTACATATTTATGACCTAAAATATTGATGTGTAAAAATTAAATTGGCTGCAGTTACTTTCCACCCCTCCAATCTGAAATTTAGTTGCCAGGATTTGTGATAATTTGTTATTTACTGTGAGGTCTTGCTTTATGTGGAAAACTTAAAACAAGAAGACAAACGAAAGGTCATAGGCATCGCATGGGATTCGTCAAAACCCGAAAATATTTTCAAGGTATTTCCATACCTAATAATGTGTCGTACATGGTTTATGATGATCAATTTTGATGAAGTAAAGGTACTTCAACCCTATATTCCCCTCAGAAAGATCTGTATTTTAACATCGAACCACAAAAAAAAGTTCAAAATTACTTGATTTTCATGCAATATGCAAGATTTCCCAGTGAATAGAAAATTACCTGTACTAGGAAGTGCAGTGCAGTTCTTGACGTCTATGCTCATATTTATTTCAGTTTCTTTTCTTGCATCTTTCAGGAGTTCATGGATAAGAAGATCGATGAACTCAGTAAACAGCTGGTGGAGGAAAAACAAAATACAAGAAGGTAAGATTATTCAACTCTAGGGGGCGCTATAACAAATTCCTTGCCACTTCTGAATCCAATTTCAGAATTTATGTGTTGCATATTAGATTTGTAATACTAATACTGTAAAATATTTTATTTTAGCTGGAATTAATTTTCGCTGAAAGAACATTTTGGTTGTTTTGTATGGAATTTATTTTCGCAGATTTTTGACAAGTTGAATGTTAAATATAGGAAAAAAAGGTATATATTGGCATGTCTTTTTGCATACCTAATTATTTTTATTTTCACTGAATCATTTCTTTGGCGAAAACAGCGAAAATTAAAAATAAAGTATTTTATAGTAATTTACGAAATTGATCTTTATTCATTTAATAGCATGAGGCCATTACCTCCAAAATGGCAAATTAAACATAAGGAATACATTTGTTTAATAAGTCTATATTACATGATGAGTACATCACCTGGGACTCATGTCACATGGGACCTACATATGTACATTGAATATTACGCAGCATGATAGGCTACAATTCTTTCAATTAAACTTAGGAGAATAAATACTTCAACTCAAAAAAAAAAAAATAAAAAGAACAAGGTAATCTTGTCTGCTTCTGTTCATATTAGAATTATAAAAATACTCACATACTTGGCGTTATTCCCGTAAGGAGTCTCTCACTGTTTGGTTGAAATTACATCGTCTGTCGAATTCCTTGATAACAGATTTTATCCATTTCTTCGCACTTCTTTTCTGTCTCTGTGACAGTTACTATGACAACATAGTGGGAAACAGTGTCGTCTCACTATATGATGGACCCTTGCTGTGAGGTGTTGTTTTTTCTAGAATGTAACACTTTTTCTTATGAAGAGAAAGTTCAAAATCATAGGTAGATTAGTCTATTCATTATCATCACTGTGTGTTCCTTCCTCTTTCCTCTTTCCTCCTTCTGCCTTCTCATCACTCTCCCTTCTAAACACCCCCTCTTCCTCCTGATCGACCCCCTCCCGGTCACCCTTCCTGATCCACCCTTCTCGGTCACCCCTCCTGATCGTATCTCAACCTCCTCATCATCCTTTCTCTCTTGATCATCCCCTCCTCTTCCTGGGCTCCCCTCTTCTTTCACGAATGTAACGTATCCAATACTTTTTGTAAGCTTCAGAAAATTGAAATTTGTTGGTTCTTTTTTATTCTTTGTCTAAAATGTCTTAAAATGTGTAAGAATACCATTACCATGGTTACGTAAATTGGCATGTCTTTTTGCATACCTAATTAACTCATCATAATAATCTCATGAATGTTGTAGCAAATTAACCGATTTATTCTGCCGCATTCTTGCATGGATATATCTGACATACCATACTTAACGCTTGGGTACCTTTAATTTTTGTTTGTAACTACTGTCCATCTAGGTGACAGGAAAATAGTTTGATAATAATCATGATTTCGTCGGTAGTCTTTGAAGTTTGAAGCAACTCCAAACTGTTTACATCAGTTTCTATGAGAAGCGTCATTATTTAATAATCTAGTTTATATTAATTTTATTTCAGGATACAGAATTCCGATATTTTTGACGTTGATAAAAACTCATAACGAGTGAAACTGTATGAGTTCTTTGTCCTCACACAATTTCAACATTCCCCCCAAAATACTGCTGTTGCTAGGAGACGATCCCCACGCTCATCCGTTCTCCATAATACATGTACTCAGAAAGAGTAACTCATAAAATGAAAGTTCATCCAGCTTATAATGTTATTTGTGTCTTTCAATCATTGTATTTTTCACAAAACTACAAAATTGCCAAATGCTTCCTTTGTGATTACAGCTCATCTTTGTAAAGGATGGAATTACATAAAATTGTTGCCGAGTTACGTAGACGATTCATTTCACCGCGGTTCTAAAATTACGTTTTTTCAGAGAGTGATCAGTTATGAGTATGATAGATGCTACAAAATTGCTACAAATTTATCAAATACCTTTCAGCTATAGAAATTGAATATCAAATGTCACTATAATTGCGCAAATGAAAAATCTTATTATTTGAGTAGCAATTTAACCCTTCTCTGTCATTATTTTAGATTTTTAGGATAAAAATTTACATTGTATGTTTTAAGCTACTGCACTACTTTAGAGAAATACCTGCGAAATTTCATTCATTTAATTCCTAGAAAGAAAAAAAATTCTGAAATATATATATATTTTTTGTCCTGTTTTTTCATTCTCTGTATATTTTTAGAAAAATTCCTTTTGCAAATTTTTCTATTTTCTTTAATAGCTTGGGTAATTTTGACCCAAACTACAGAACTGAAAACAAAATTTCGGAAATGAACATGCAAAGATACTGCAAAAGTTGACACTGGTGTTAAAAAAAGAAAGAAAAAACTTAGAAAAAAAAAAGAATTCAGTATATTCTATGAAATCGGAATGATATCCAGTGAAATTGATAAAAAAAATGTCTCACAAATAATAAATTTATAAAAAGAAATTCGTATCACTACATAATTTTTTAAAGATACCTTCGACCAGAAACATATTTTTTTTTAGTCTTTTCTACATGTATGATTTTAACAGAAATATTAAAAAAAAAAATGACACCACATATATTCTATTTCAAAAATGTCTGAACACTCTTTCTAAATCAGGCATCTTTTGAAAAGGTTGCATAGAATGTATATGTGGTGCGATGCAGTACGACCTATCAAAATAGTTTTGCATTCCGATGTAATAATGCAGATAAAAAACCATATTGTAAATACTTGGAGGTGATTTCCACTGAGTATGCTTCTTCAGGGAATTCACATCTGAATGTGTGGGGTTTCTATGACAACATGATAAAAACTCAGAGAATATTTGTGCATGCCTGTTGGAAGGAGGTTTAAGGTATTACTATTTGGCACCAATGGTCTCTTGAATGTATTTTAAACACGCTTTACTTTTCAATAAAAAAAAAGACATTCTTGGCGTTGACAATTTAATTGTGTTTGATTGATGGAACAGCCAAAACAAAGGGGATTCTTTCTTAGGGAGGATGTGCAGCAATTGTGAGAGCCACTGTTGAATGGCTTGCCATTGGATGTAAACTATGACCAATCAAAAGACATGTGTTGTTTTGAATAGATTCTTGCGGATCACAATCATACTATACTTGTAAACGTCTCACTTCGTTTTTACGTTTGTCTGCCGTGGAAAGTCACCACCTCATTGTTGCTAAGTTGAAAATGTAGTACACTCGTGGAAGGATTTTTTTTTACAATACCCGCTTTCCAAACATGTGTCACCTGGTTGACCGTGTCGTTGTCTGTGGCAGAGAACTATGGAATAAGAATGCTTAGACGTGACTTGTGAGATCAAATATGGATCCAAAAGATAGGTAGGAAGCTTAAGTATGAAAAAAATATTGGATATTGGGTTTATTTATTTAAATCTGTCTATTGGAGAATTTTTATCGCTAATACATATGTAAATATTTAATTTTTCTTTGTCATATTTTTATTATTTAAAATTCTTTCTCATGACTTCAACTGACATATACTTAAAATTAAAGTTTAATAAGATGGAGAAAAGAATGTCGATTTTGTTTTTTTAAATTTTTTTTGTAAGCTTTGAACAGTAATATATTAAGCGTTGAAGTGTTTTCTTCAGTGTAATTTGCATTTTTAAGAAGTGGAAATATTCCCATCTTCCCATTGAGTAATTTAATAATTTCTTGTTATACATTTGAATCATGTTTGCTTCCATGTGCGATATACATTGTACCAGGTACCCAATCCATACTGGGGATAGAATACATCTACATGTCTTGTCTGAAATACGTACCTCAAAAATGATAAATGAATGTTTTCGTGACATTTATGCAAATTACTTAGAGAATTTTGAACAGATTCTTAATTTTTTTTTAAGCTGATGTAATAATTTAAAGGGATGTTTATTTCTCATGTGATTTGCTTTTTTTATTCTTTGTTACAAAGAGAACGTGATTTATGAATATTTTTACTGAATTTTAAATTGAATATTTATTATGCACCACGTAATGTGTCATTTATAATAGAATATTATTTTTATGGTGATAAAATCAGGCCAAGTGCCAAAATATATTATGATATAAAACAATTGATATATAGATCACTGATTTATGTGTCGTATTTAAATTGTCAACGATGTTACGAATTACACTAGGACTTAGTATGGGATTAACATTTGGATTATATTATAAATCTCAGTTTTAATGTTGTCACTTGTATATATATATATTTATATTGCGATGTGCAACTTTTTTAAAAAATTTGGTGGCAAATATTTAGTTGCACATTATGTGAATTCAGCGTTTTTAGATTGAAAGTTTTGGAAAAAATAAATAATGAAAAGATAAAAACAAGCAAATGCAAAAATCAGATCAGATTTTTTCATTCAGTGGTTATGACAATGTTGTACTAGGACTTCAATAAATCTGTAAATTAAGTACGCATATTAAAAAGCAAAATTAATCAAAAATGTGAAATTTTTATCAGTCATTATTTCATTCATGAATTCTCTTTTTTTTCTTTTTTCATTTTTTGACTGAATGTCTTTTCATTAGTTACTCGACACTGTTGTAAAAAAATGCAATAATATTTGTTCATTGCCATTCCCATTCATGCAAAACGACCACATTGTGAGCTTTTGAAATCACTCTGTGATGACAACGTCAATTTCTGGTTGCAGCAGTCATTGCAATTGACGTTATCTTGTAGCCCACAATTGGCACCATCTGTTTCGTGTTATCGCTGTTTCACACTCTTATCGTCATAGTGATCATTTCATATTTGATACTGTATTGAAATTTTGGGATAAATTAGAAAATTATGATAGCAATAAATAACAATAATTTTTTTAGCCAAAATGTTAAAAAAAAGTGCTTGTTATATAATTTTAGTAAAAATATTTTAAAAACTGAATCAAATAAATATTTCTGTCTTGTTGAATTCGTTTTGACTAATTTTACTAGTGAGTAAAAATAAATATTACATTTCTATGCATAAAAGTAAAG